GGGTGAGTTTCATAAGCTACTTTGCGTTCATCGAGCGAAATTGATTTTATCAATATCGTTTGATTTTTTGCAAAGTTTGACACGTATTTGGAGTTGTCCACATTGAAGGGGGGGGGGGTAAGTGAGCATGTTAATAACGGTTTAGTAGTTGTGAGTTATCGGCTACTTTTATCGATTTTATCGGATTCGAGTTTGAGCTACGGGGCTAAAAGTTGGCACACCGGAATATGTGGACATGCCAACTGCGAAAACAAAGCGGTGATAGGGAGTTGGCATGTAGTGGCACAGGGAAAGCGTACAGGAATAGGGATGGTGATTTTTATCTGTTTCGATAGGCCCGACCGAAGACAGGTTTGCCAGCTAGTCACTGTTAAAACAAATATTAGGCTCTAAGCTCGGGGCATATTCATACACATTCTACCTCTTCGAGTAATGCTCACCTATGGGTAATAGTAACATTTTTCTTTGGTGTGATAGAGATTACTCTGAAATGGCTTTGGAATTGAATCTCAATTACCAAGCTACAACGTGATGCGAACCCACCTACTAGTTGTCCTTGGTCTGAACGTGGTTGCATTTCTTGATGTGGTGGATATTATTCTGGAATGATTTTGAAGTTTACAGAGACAGCCAGTTCAGTCTCGCGAAATACCTGCGAGTCGTTCTCTTTGAGGAAGTGCTTATTCTCCTTGGTGTAGTAGTTGGGAGTCTGACATGGGTTTGTTGAGACAATAGTCATTATCCGATTCGTAAAGATCACCGGCGAGTTGTTCTCATTGACGAAGTAGTCGTATTTCCTTTTGTCGTAGTAGTTGGTATTCTGGAATAAAATTGTTCAGCGATAAATTACAAGCTTCACTATGAATTACCTGCGAGTTGTTTTCCGTATAGAGGTGCTGATCTTCTTCGGTGTAGTAGTCGGGATTCTGTAATGACTGCGTTACCAACAATAATTACCGGGCCCTATCGTATTGTAAAACCTACCTGCGAGTTGTTCTCGTTGACGAGGTAGTGATATTTCTTTTTGGTGTGGTAGAGAGTATTCTTTACAATTTTTGTTGTATAGAAGCACGGTTAGATCCGAAGTGCGAAAAACCCACCTGCGTGTAGTTTTTGTTGAAGAGCTCGTTATGTTTTTTGGTGTAGTAGTCGGTATTCTGCAACTCCTTTTTTTGAAATCGGCAACACTTCTTTCTATCGTGTTTGTGAACGGCACACCGTTTTCGTGATAGAGTCAAGGGTATTTCAAAAAAAAAAAGTTTCTGAAGATTTATTTTCGACACAAGTAGCGTCACTGTCATGATCTAAAACACTCCTGCGAGTTGTTTTCAGTTTAGGAATGGTGTTTTTCTTTGAAGGGATGATAATTCCAAACCAAGCTCATACCAGCATCCAACTTACTTTGAATATAACAAGCTTACCTACGAGTAGAGCTGGTGGTTGTAAGACCACTTTTTACGCCGTAAAATTCAAGATTGTTTGCATTCAAATTAACAGTAATGCAGTATTCCTGGAGTAGCGGGGCGCCAAAATGCCATTGTGGACCAAATCCGCCGCTTGTTTGAGAAGCTAATGCGAGTACACATCTGTTTCCCATCTGTAAGTGAGTGCAATGAGTAGAA